CTTTTCATTTGTTCGCATATTTTTGGAAGGTTTAGCATGTGTGGGTAGCCCTGACAAAATTGGACTCAATCCAAAAAGTTGATCGAATCCATCCGCTATAGGTCTTGTGATGGGTCTTATTTGTTATTTTGAAATTTGAAATGATCATGACTGAAATTATCTGAATTAAAATGGGTTAGTTAGAGGTGGATCGAGTCATTTGAAATGACCCAAACTATTATTTATTTTTTTATTAGATTATTTAAAAATTAATTTTAAATTTCTAATTTCTTAATTCTAAAAGTAAAAATAAATAAAATACCAAAATCCTAACTTCCCGTCAATTTCGCTTTCTCCCAACTTTTCCACTTCTCCACTCTTGCTCCTCCCTTCTTCATCTCAAGCTCTTTAATTCTTCTTTTTGGTGACACTTTGCATAAAAAATCAGATTAGGTGACACATAATGAGTTGTATCTATGGTATTGTCAAGAAAATCCCTTTTTTCTTATAAAAAAAGAAGAAGCAAGAATACTTATTGAAAATAAAAAACCAGTAGTTGTGACACTCTCATCACCATTAGAAGTATAATGACAAGAATATCAAGATTGGTTCTTAATTGGTAATTTATTCTAAATTATTAATTTGTTCTTAATTAATAAGTTGTTCCTAGTTAATAAAAATCAATCCCAATTTAATTTTTTCTTATATTTGTTTAGACATATTTTGAATTTGGTTTTTGAACTTTAATATTGAATAGGGTTATATTTTTTTGTATAATACCCCTCAAATATTGAATAGAACTATATTTTTTTGTAAAATACCCTTATAAATATTAAATAGACACTAAATATTAACATATATATTGGATTTGTCTTTTAAACTCCAATCTTTCGTATCTCTTACTTTAATGAAGGTTAGTTTCATGTCTCTTCTTTCAATAAAGGTTAATGCTTTTATGAAATTATGAATTTTAAATATTGTATAGGCATTGTATATTTGACATATGTTTTAGTTCCACTTACATAATTAGTAATCTTTTCATTTTCTTTTCTTGATATTAGAATGAAAATTGAATTATGAAATACAAATTAGCGTTTAATAAAGTTTTCTAATTAAATAGTTAATTAGGATTAAATTTTATTAA